TTAGTCCCAATTACATTTACATGTGATATACCAGTCACAGTCATATAATTATACACATCAGGATGTACTTTAGGATACTGCCTCCTTCAATACTGTATATAAATTTAACATGCACAGAATCCAAACCCAAACCCAAACCCAAACTCCCAAACAGTTTGGGTTTGAGTTTGGGTTTAGTGCATGCCTAGCATTTATACTACATCGATGCGTAAGTGTAAATGTATAACAAAGTTGTGAAAAAAACATGGTCAAATCATTGAAATAAAGAAGATACGCGGAGTCTTCCAGTAGAAATAAGCCGCAGCCAGATTGTTTTCTTGAAATGATAGGCGTCTGAAAATTTGACCGTAACTGTTCTTCATTGATTTGATCTTCTTTTTTGTAGAGACTGTTTTCTCCAAAGCTTTTTTTCTCAAGTTGACGATAAGAAAGTATATATTCTGTCGTGTTTTGAGCCGAATCATCTGTTTTCAATGAGAATGGATTCTAAACTTTCTATTAGTGCCTTAATAATACCAAACTGTTCTGTTTCTGAGGATAAAACATGCAGACCTGTAGCTTGTTTGTAAACAGAATGATAATGGCATCTTTGGGACTTATGTGTCAAGTTTTTCAATGATACAGCTTCTCAATGAAAGAAGCATAGTATCAGAGGACTGCAGAATAGTGAGTCTTTATCAGGGCATCTAGATCTATCATTCCTTAAATCTCTTCGGTTACACTGTAAAAAATGAGCGCAGAATAATAAACCCTCAAAAAGGGTTTATAAACACGGCATCAACCCTGTTTAGGTTTATGGACGCAATCTACTTTCTCATAAACCCTTTTTCTCATAAACCTTGGCAAGGGTTTGCTATACGTTGCAAATTCATATACCCTTGTATCGTTTTCTGTGTTCATAAACCCTTTTTGAGTATATGAACGCAATAAATCCTTAGACAAAGGGTTTGTTTTCCTCGTTTTAAAGACAACCGTAGAATAATATACCCTTTGTCTAAGGGTTTATTGCATTCATATACTCAAAATGGGTTTATGAACACAGAAAACAGTACAAGGGTATATGAATTTGCAACGTATAGCAAACCCTTGCCAAGGTTTATGAAAAAAAGGGTTTATGAGGGAGTACATTACGTCCATAAACCTGAAAAGGGCTGATGCTGTGTTCATAAACCCTTTTTGAGGGTTTATTATTCTGCGCTCATTTTTTACAGTGATAGGCAACACGATTTCACTCGGTTAGCTGATTCTTGTATTCCTGTGAAGAAAATAACTGTCATAAGGATTATTAATAACATAGAAAAACTGAAGATCAAATAATTTGATCAAATCACATTGACAAAAGAAGAAGTGTGGGGTGCGGTGTAGTTGTGGGTGGAAGTGAGTGTAGTTGTAGGTGGTTGATATGGATAGGTGTGGGTGTTCACATTTGCCGCATCCAAACATACACACATCCACACCCTAATCAAATTAAATATTTACTCAGTTAAGTATCGTTAAATTGCAGATATTCATATCAACACTTCGATAATGTTGGAGAATAACAGCAAACACTCAATGTAATAACCATTAATAGCTGATTTTCATGAAAGTCGAGAAATATTCATGACAACTCTTGAGAATAATGCTATCTGTTACGATAGATCGCAAGATAATTTTCAATAAAAATCAACTCGCGTGTAGAAATCTTTCAAAAACCTTTATGCATTTTCATGAATTCTCGGAGTGTAACGAAATTTAATCAGACTTTTTCAATCGAAAACTTGTACAATGCTACTTAATGCAAACTAACTTGGGAACATGACGAAATTACTTTCTATTTTTACAGGGTATAGAAGAAATGGTGTTTATCTGGTGGAAAGCATCCTGCAAAGTTCCGAACTATAAGCAGATACTACCGAAGTCACAGACAGAAAACGCAAGAATGATCTTTCGTGGGTCGTTATGTTGTTTCTGTCTGTTTCACACAATTTGTTTCGTTTACCAGTGATACATTTGTCGTTTTATGGCTATTTCTCGTTTCAAGATTATAGATAAATAACAGTTGAACGATGCGGTAGATTTCGGGTTTAGGATTCTTCTTTGAAGTTCCTTCCATTTGCTGGTTGGGACGGTCTTTAGGGAAGCTCACTATACTCTACAAGAAACATGCTGGAGAATTTACGGAGTGCAGTCCATTTCGGTCGTAACTGATGATTAGACTCCTGATGAAAAGCGGAATCCTAGAAGTCTCTTATCAAATTTTTCTCTTGAGTTATTGTTAGGAAACAATGTTTTTGTATAATAATTTTCTGGCCGTGAGTAGCACTTGCAAATTTCTGGTATATTGCTACGAGATCGTGTGAAAAGCTCAGGAGCTCCTGCAATAAACACGCTGGAAAGTTGAACAAATAGGGGCAATTCGTGCAGGATTTAGAAGCTGGAATGAACTAATTAGGCAGTTTACTTTTATTTCATTCACTTTGGTCTTTGTCAAGAATAAGATATTTTTCTTGCTTGAAGGAAGGCTCAAAGAAAATTTTGTTGACTTTGTGGAAGTTTGTATCTTTAACAGACCACACTCTAAAAAAAGGTGTTCCACCGAACCCCAGAAATGGTTCCGAAGATGCCTAAAAGCGTCTAAAGGCGTCCACAGTCTCAAAAAAAGGATAAAAAAAATCGATGAAACCTTTAAAGGTTCTTACCGTGAATCCAGGTGAAGAACCTTTTTCTACGAAACTTTTTCTCAAGTTCCGTACAGCAGAAAAAGGTTTCGTAGGTAAATACGAAAACGTAAAAGTTTTATGTTCAGCCTTGATGGTTTTGTACTAAACCCTGATTATTTCGTAAAGTTTAATACGAAACTTTTCAGGTTTCGTATCTTCCTACGAAACCTTTTTCTGCTGTACGGAACCAAAAAAAGGTTTTGTAGGAGAAGGTTCTTCGTCTGAATACACGCGGAGAACCTTTAAAGTTTTCGTCGATTTTTTTGATCCTTTTTTTGAGATTCTGAACGCCTTTAGATGCATTTGGACATCTTCAGAACCTTTTTTTAGGGTTCGGTAGAACACCTATTTTTTTTAGAGTGTAACTGATGCCAACTGAACAAATTTCATTTCTTTATTTCTATTCATGCTGCAGTCCAAAGACAAGATTGTCGTTGTTTTGCTTATTGCATCTCTGTTATTCACAAAAGGCGGTTAACTGCTTTTGACAAGCCACGTGCTAATAGATTCTTGCTCTGCTTATTAATATAAGGCTTAGAGTAAGTATACAAGAAGAAATACATCTATCTAAAAATATTGATTCTAATGTTGAGATCGATTCATGTCAGTCGATAACGCGTACTCTCATTATAGATATTTGTCTTGTGCATTGCTCAATCAAAATGTGGCTTGAACTTCAATCAATATTGAACTCTGCTCAGCAGAACTCAATTCATTCTCATGACAGTCAAACAGTCCGACCAGTATCTGTAATTATTTTTACGATAATAATATTTTTCGCTATAATCTATGTGATAAACGTTATCTTTCATCTTATGGAACTTATTTTTCGTTTTTGTTTGCCGGCTAAAGTTCATCCTACGCTGTATGATGTTTTACCATCACCACCCAATTTGCTCGATTTTCCGATTGTTGTCGTTCAGTTGCCGATGATGAATGAAATCGAATGTTGTGTGTCTGTCATTGAGCATGCGTGCAATCTCGATTGGCCAAAAACACGTTTACGCATTCAAGTACTTGATGACTCGACTGAAGAACGGGTTATGGCACTCATTGATCAATGTGTCGATAAATGGCGCAAAAATGATATACAAATTGATATCTATCGTCGTCCTGATCGGAAAGGATTCAAAGCGGGTAATTTGAACAATGGCATGTCCTATCTGCCGAATTCTGCCTTTGTCGCTATATTTGATGTTGATTTCTTACCGGCTCCTGACTTTCTCTTACGAACAATGCCAACATTCATTCAAGATCCATTCGTGGCTTTCGTTCAGACACGATGGACATTCACCAATCCCAAAGAGTCTCTCTTGACACGCATGCAAGAGATCTGGTTTAATTGGCATCATAAATGTCAACAAGAAGGCAGTTATCGAGCATCGCTCTACTTCGGTTTCAATGGTGCAGGTGGAGTTTGGCGTGTATCGACCATCAGGCAATGTGGTGGTTGGGACACAGATCTAATCACTGAAGACATGGATCTCTCTCTTAGAGCTCATCTAAATGGATGGCATTCAGTGTATATGAAAGACGTCGAATCTCTAAACGAAATATCGCCGACACTCTATGGCTATCTGTCTCAACAATTCCGACGGACTTGTGGTCCAATGCAAGTCCTTCGAAAATTGGGACTACGTATCATTCACACAGAGCATGTATCCTGGGTTAAAAAGTTGTGGTGCTTCTGTTACTTACTTCGTTGTGCAGCACCTCTTTTCCAATATCTTGCGCTTCTTTTCTTACTGCCAATGACTATCATGTTACAAGTGACAAATGTTCAATATTTTTTTTGTCTATTATTGACGACGATCCCCATATTATCTGTTATGGTATTTACACCAAATGAAATACACATGTTTATATTCTGCAGCTTGTTTTCGAACGCCATATCTCTACTTAAGTCTTGTGCAGTGATTGCTGAAATATTTGGCTTAGAGTCTAGCAAAAAGTGGATTGTAACACCAAAGTACAACTGTGTTAATAATAAATCCACTCAACAGTTGGTAGAAGTACACACAACCAAAGCAACTGAAAGTATTATGACTCCTTTGATAGAGAACAAAAAATCGACAACGTCACTTGGATTTTCATTTTCTTGCAAAACTATATTTATTTTCTTCTCATCGATTCGTGATCAGATATGTAAAATACTCAGATCGCTTCGATTCTACAAATGGTACTATTTTATGAGCGTCTACTTACTCTTACTTGGATGTTTCATGTCCATCAACAAGATGTACGTCGTTGGTGCCTACTGTGTTGCAAATGCATTCATATTTGGAATATTTGCCTTTGGCGCCATTGGGCGACTCGAATAAAAACGATATACTCACAAAACTTTGTTTTACCATTTCATTCACACGAATGAATGTGGGTGTGAGTGCGAATGTCTAGCTCTCCTTATTGCAATTTCATTTTTGATCAGATGTTCATCAGACTGCTTTGGCATTGTTTTTATTCAAGAGTGTTTCAAAGACCGCACGCATAATGCATAAAATGTATCTGTATGAAAGGGTTTGCGAACGTAGGTTTCTGAGTGAGTTGCCTGTCACTATATTTGATTGTGCATGGTTGGTTAAATGGCTTTTTTAAGAATAGCGTGACAAATTTATACTTCTCTTGCAGAGTGTGTTGAGGGTGTAGGTGTTGGTGTGCGTATTGTTAAAGATGTGACTAAGCAATAAATCCACATCTTACAAAACGTTCATGTAGCTGAAACAAATTTTGATTGTCACTATCAAGTTCGAAGACTTTGACAGAACCATTTCAAGTAAAGTTCTTTATAACCAAGATCCTTCCAAACTGGATTGGGTGTGAGTATGGGTGTGGGTGTAAGGTGTGCGTGTGGGTGTGAGTATGGGTGTGGGGTGTGCATGTGGGTGTGGGTATGGGCATGAGTGAAAGACACCTACACCTCACACCCGACCCACAACCACACCTACACCCACACCCTTCAGAGTAAGAAGAACATGTAAATTAATGTCATGAGTTTAGAATCTTGTTCTTATTATACTTCTTTTTTGTGTCTCAATAGCACGTTAAGGCCCCCCCCCCCACTCAAAAATCGATCTCGGCCCAGGAACGTTAGAATGAGCTGAAATTTGGAGGATATGTTGGGGAAAGTTAGAGGAGTCTATGATAAAATTTTCAGCTCAAAACTATGCAATTTGTGGCAGATATTGACCAAATAAGGTCGAAAAATAGGGAAAACGGCATCCTAAATTTCTCTTTAATGATCCATCCAATGTAAAAAATTTTTTTTCATTTGAAAGAGCGTGTCAAGATGCAGGGCAGTACGTCGCCCGTTTTTTGAATTAGTCCCTTTTTAATCGGAAAAAAGAGGGCACAAGTTCAAGAACTACAAAATTTATCAAAAATGGGGGTCAAATTATATTAGTGACTTAATATTTACTATAAAAGAAGAGAATTGCAAAAAAAGGGCGATGTACTACCCTGCGTCTTGACACGCTCTTTCAAACAAAAAAAATATTAATACATTGGTTGGACCATTAAAGAGAAATTTGGTTTGCACGTTCGAGAAAACGGAAATCGAGAAAAAACGAAAAAGATTTTTCGAAGCTTATTTTTTTGATATTTTATAATTTTTGGCAATTTTAAGCATTTATCTAAAGAAACTGACTATCAATAATCCATATAACGTTGAATTATGTATAAAAAGGACCTTTATGACGTGGTGAACATCTTTAAAGATATTTTTTATTCATAACGATAGGCACATGGTCGAATTGTTCGAAGACGTACTACTTAAACTAACTATAAATTATCTCAATCGGTTTTCTTCACTGAAAATAAAACTTATAATAATCATTTCGCACTACTAGCAACAATATACCAGTATTTATGACGTTTACATAGTTGTCAAATATAAAGAAAGAAAAGATAAAAATAGTATAATAAATGACTAATGCATGTTATATGTATGGATCATCCTGAAGCACATCGTTTTCGATGCCGCTTGTTTATCTTTCTGTTCTCCATTGTTGATTTTTTTTTCGTGTTCTCTGTATCTTATTATCTTTTCAGCATACAACAACGTGTGTTTTGTTTATTTTTTTATATGTGATTCTCTTAGTGTATATTCAATAAACAAATAAATAAATAAATA